CTTTAAAGAAACAAAAGTGTGCCTGATCGAGAGACGCCGACAGGATCAGCAGTGGCAACGTGTTCGTGCGTGGGATGAATGCCTACACATAGAAATACGATCAAAAATTTTGAATTTCCAAACTGAAAAAGTCTTGCACTACAAATTCAGAAAAGTGGGACGTTAGTTGAGTGCAAGTCAGTGATCAGAAGCAAGGATACTACATCAGAACTGCGAAAGTAACCGAAAGATAAAAAATGAGCTTATGCTCTACGAAAATGATTTTTTCCTACAAGAAATGGGTACACCTACTATGAATAACAAAAGTACTGACTGAGCTGGCTGCAACTTACTTCTGTAGATCATCTACATCATGTGCAACCTCCTTATAAATCATCTCATAAGCTGCATCAACAACACGCGCTTCCTTCTTGGGTATCGGACCAAATACGGCAAGAGCGAAGATCTGAGGAAAAAGAGATAACTAATCATATAGCAACCAGAACATGGTCTTACTAGGTCTGCCCAGTCAGAGCTAAGAAGATTTAAGTGTACTGCGTTGAGAATTGCCTTAGAGAGCACGAATGCAACGGTCGTGTTGAGCTGTGCCAGATCAAGCAATTCGTGGCAGAAATCCTGAAGGAAGAAATTGAATAAATTTTTCGAACAATAAGCCAGGGAATTGCGCCTCCCACTTTAGCGCGCTCCTTTGTTACTTCCAGCGACATCATGGACTTGGAAAGGAGCAGACTACAAGAACCTTATATTTAAAGATTAAGAAAAACATGATGGCAGCAAAATTATGACCATGATATTACCCCAAAGTTTGTAGTACAGCAGGCAAAAAGTTGAGCGATTTTCTTTCTTCGTTGGTAGCACCGATTGCAACGCTGATCAATCTCAGCAGAGTTTCTGCACATGTCACCTTAATTCAATTAATTTGAAAGTAATATGGGAAGCAAGAAAAAGCAAACCTTTTCTAGCAGATGGCCACAGATTGCTAGATAGCATTCGGTTACGGCGTATG